TAAAATAAAAAAATATATATATTGTTAAAGCAAAAAAGTGAAGACGAGAAGGCAAATTACTTTTTGTCATTTTTTACTTTATATTTCGATCACTGACCAATGAACATCATCAGCAAACGGATTGTAATCTAAAATTCAAATGTAATTCAAAATTTATTCTAATTAACATAACAAGAGCAACCTGAAATTGCAACGTGCAACATTTGCATTGTATATCACGCAAAACAGAAAAAAAAAACCGTTTGCTTACGATAATCACTAGTCAGTTATCGAAATATTAAGTAAAAAAGGACACTCAAAGTAAGATGACTTCTCCTTAACACTTTTGTAGTAAATTTATATTCCCAATTTATTTTTTCAAATATTGTTACARAAATTGTTTCAAATCTCTCAACGGGCAACTYTAAAATCATGAAACACATTTGAATGGTTTGYTACRACAATGAGTATGAAACCGCGGCACAGAATATGAAAGATTTCAAGCTGTCAAGGRTAGCTTTCTAATTTTCTAGTTTGGGACATTTGCTTGTAATTTTTGAAATASGGTCCCAAACCCCCTCATTTTAGCCCGGAATTTTAGCAAGATGAGCACATTTTCGAACAAAGTTCAAATTTTCATGTTGTTATGACGTACTTGCTCACAATTAAAACTCGGATTTCAATTATTTGATCTTGTGCTATCTATAAATGGCAAAATATTTGTAAAATTAAAAGGAAAGTTCGGATCCCCGTCATTTTGACCTTAATGTTGCGATGTGAATATGAAGGAATGTATGGAGTTCGACCGCGTATCCATCGCAATTGTTGAATAAAATTCTAATTTTGTTTTTAATTTTGTCAATCACAAAATGACCAATGACCACAAGGTTTATAAAATACTGGGATTTATTGAAGATCTTGGAGGRAAATTCAACTTGTTTGGCGCAAAAAAAGAAAARAAAAAAAAGCAACAACAACAAACAAACAAACTTGCCGTCGTTTTGCAAAGCATTGTTCTTCATTTACAACAGATATTCAGTATTTTGTTTAATTCCTCGTTTGTTCGCTTGGTAGTCTGTCATGGTTCTGGTAAATGAAGATAAATGAAATACCAACGCTGGAAACATACYCGATAAGATATACCCTGGTTTTCTGAGATTACAAGCATGTAGTTACGATTCGTTTAGGTGGACTTATACTTTTAGATATCAGGGAATACCCCTGTCGGCCTTATTGATTTACCTAACTATCTTTGATGTGTCTAGGGGCAACTACTACGAAAATCCGTGGAAATGCAAGAAACAATCGACTGTGATTGTTGTAATGGGTTTTGAATGAGGMGATATAATAAATTTGCAAAATAAGAGACAACCAGGCAGAGCACCACCAATGGGGGCAACGGTAAGCGGGCAGACCCGCATTGCCGAGTTGAATAGTTTGATTGCGTTTATATGGGAAAATTCAGCACGCTTTCGGATGTTTCCCCATATAAACGCAAAGGATGTTTTAAAAAGAAAAGATTTTACTGAAAATGCACTACACAGGGTAAATTAACATCATAAATAATGCATATATTTTCGAAAAGATACCTGTCCCGAGCAATTGTTATATGTTTTGTGGATTGGCAGGATCACTTGTCTAGCAACGTGACAAGCTGGAAGTTTTTAATTGTTCGGTTTGTCTAAAACAAAACCCGATACAATTTGTATAGCAGCACCGTTTTGTTTTAGGCTTTCAAATCAACATCAGTGATATATAGTAATAGAGAGGGACTGCCATCATAAATAAGTCATGGAATAACCATTTTACGCCAAAACGAACCTCGTATAATTTCGAAGACAATGAAATTCTGGTTATTTTCTTGTCTTATGCTTTAGTACTAAACAMATTGCCGGCTAGAATCTCACTTACCGCTTGTCTTAAGATTTGAAGGTCTCGCATCACTAAACCCAAACGTTTTGCTTGAATTAAGATACTGCACTTMTACTTCGCCATATGTTTCACTGCCTTCTTGTGACCAGTATAGAGGAAAGGTCTAAACAAGGTAAGCGGTGGACGGTGGAKCATAGGGGGTTTATTGAAAGACAGCCAAACCTTTATTCGCACCACAACCCCAACCAATTTGATGAAATCGACGGTAATTAGGTGGCTGYAGGTTGCACTTAATGCCGTAATTTGAATATAGTAGTATCCTGTATACTTTACGAAGCACGACACGGCCAGCTTC